GTGTCATTAACATCGTTCACCTCAATTGTTTTAAAGGCTGAATTATTTAACACTCGATGAAGTTAAAGTACCCCATGGTCGTTTAATTAACAATCAAAGGCCGCAAATGGGCTTCCTATGTGAAGTCCAAAGCCAGGAAGGCTAGCGAAAGGCCTGGGCGTGACTGGGCCGCAATTACGACCCAAATCGTACTCGAAGAAGCTGTTAAGCTTGGGCCCAGGACTGAGCCCAATTTCGAAACCCCAACAGGTCTGAGTGGAGAACTCGGCATCGAGTCCCTGCAGGCCAAAACCCAGCGATATTCAACAACATGTTTGATCTAGTTTTTCTTAGCAAGCAATGACAACGGAATTCTCATCAACGGATAGCATATTCGATTTAGTTTTAAACTTGTACCAATATGAGTAATGCATTTTGACCTTATCCTACTATAGAAATTTTTTACACATCTAAACAAATCAAAATTTCATTCTCAGCCCAATGCATGCACCTAATTACCTTGAGTACCCAGAGACTTATGCCAATAAGACCAGTATTCATTAAGTTTTATTCCCACAAAGAAGGCAGTCACCACGTTTAATCGAATGCACTCTGATTTTAGACAAAACTAGATGATAAACTAAAACTCAACAGAGTCTAACCACATGCTGGAACATATGTCAAACAAACAGTGAATAGCTTAAATCACAGTCCCTATATACAAGATCCAAATGTCCTGAACTACTTACATACAATCAAACCATCAGACCATGTGCTTCATCATAAACGAAAGGCAACATGAATTTTCTAAAGAATAACATACTATTGTTATATTAAAATGGACAGATCAGACTAAATACCATTACAATATATCACTAAACTCCAGAAATTGCAAGTAAACAGTTAATATTGATGATTAAAAGGAAAACGGTATTCATTCATGAGGATCTTCAGGTAATTATAGCTCTCATACTTACATTTCATCTCCTATAGAATCAGGGAATACCTATAATTAAATGAAATAAGAAAAAGGGAGAATCAACAGTAGACAACAGGGATCAGCAGCAGGTTCCAGTAACAGAAACAAACCAACAAAGCATGTTCGAAACCCAGAAATGAAGTACTGCAGCCCAAAAACCAGTCTCAAACACCCAATTAAATCAGCTGACCTCAGAACCAACCCTAATGACTAAGTTTCAAACCATTTCTAAGCTCAAACAATCAGGAAAATCGATTCAGGAAGAAGAGGATTTCAGATTATAAAGCTCAAACCCAATGAAACAGTATTTTCTGCAGAAGTTTCAGCTGTTTTTGTTTTCCAGAATTTTTATTCTCTTTCAAGTCTCTTGGTCTGTATTTTAGCTCCTGAATCCCTGCCTTAAAAGGCAAGATAGAGATGCCTTTATAGGCAAGGCATTAGGGCAAGCCTCAAGAGTTTATTTTTTGCCCTTTGGTACCTTTTTAATTTTCATTTTAGCTTAACACCCCTAGTTCAAATTCAGATTTTCCCAAGTAGTCCCCCTCATCTTCCTAGAAGCTTCCCAGACAGTTACAAGTAGATTCTCTACTTACAATTCCTAAACTACCCCTTAAGATCCTTGTTTTTACCCTGAAATCTATGGGTCAAGTTGACACAATAACTTAACTAAATGAACGGGCTGCCTTTCATTTTGCAAATGGGTCAGAAACCCAAAGCCCAAACAAAGTAAACCAAAACATTCTATAATCTCATGGAAGGCAGAGGAAAGCAGCACTTAAACGATTTCAAACAAATTAGAAAAAAATCTATACTAAATGAATGACTTATAAATGGGCTAGAATTAACTAGATTATCAAATTAACACCAAATTTAACTAGATTAGTTATCGACTGAAACAGAAATCAGAAGTTAAAACATGTAAAATGCACAAACCAACAAAATTATTGAAAATTCTAAAAGAAAACAAAACAAAGAAGAACCTAAAATCAAAAGCTAAACAAATTCAACAAATTTAACAGAAGAGACCTAAACCTACAAAAATAATAGACGAGAGAAGAACAAATGTGAAATAATGCAAAAAAACAAACGAAACAAAAAGGAAATGCGGAAACTCACCAAATAGACTCGGAATCTATATTGATATTCCAACTTAACCCAAGATAATGTTAATCGCTTGTTCCTTTTCAAGAACCAGCGACCATCATTATTTTGTGGTAAGTTGGCCTTGAAAAACTCAGAAAACTTGAGACATAACCTTGCATGCAACCAATTTCGAGAATAGGCCTTTTATGGTTCAGACTTCAGATTTAAGATTCAAGGGATTCGGGATAGATTCGAGGGAAAAGAGTTAGAGATTTGGGGAGAGGGAACCATGGGGATTTTGGGGTGTTAATTCGGGGTGATTTGGATGAGTCAGGTTTTCAGTCATTTCTTTCGACTAAAGATTCGAGAAGCTGGGTTAGGATTCGAGAATGGGGATTTGTAGATTCGGGAAGAGGAGAAGGAGGGGAGTGTTTGGTGTAAGTTTGGTGGCGATTGGATGCCGCCACCGCCACCGGACGGTGGTGGATTTAGGGGCGGCTCAGCTAGGGTTAGGTCTGGGCCTTCTGATAGACCGGGGTGTTTGGGACGATGAAATGAGGGGGGGTAGGGCGTTAGGACATATATATACTAAATGACCCAGGCTTTTCGTCCGTTCGATCAAAAGACCTGGACGGTCCTGATCTGATGCTCATGAAACGACGTCGTTTCACTTAGTTGGGGGGATGGACCGGGTATAGGCGGGTTTGGGCTGGGAATTGGGGCGATTCATTTGGGCTGGGGACAAATAAATGGGTTTTAGCCCAGATTTTCCTTTCATTATTTCCTTTTTTCAAATTCATTTTTCTTTTTTAACAAAAATCTTTTTCTTTTACAAAATTGAAATTAAAACTTAAATTGAATCCTAAACCAAATTATCCTACCACATTAAATTAATTAACCCTAATAATTGTTACTACCAATAATTAAAAATCAAAATAAAAGGAAAAAACTACCAAAATTCGACATTAAAATTAAAAGTGCAAAATAAACTATTTTTGTGATTTTTTCCATTTTTTATAAAATAATTGATTTGTATATTAATCCTAAAATGTAAAATTAAATCCTAAATGCAAATGCAACATATTTTTGTATTTTCTCATCAATTAAAATGCACAAACAAAAATGCAAACAATTAACAGAAAATGCCACAAAATCCGACAAAATTGCAAACACTGACAGAAATTATTTTGTTTTGAATTTGTTGGAGTAATACATATAGGGCAAAAATCACGTGCTCACATCCATTGTTCTATCTTTTGTGATAAAACAACCTGGTGCAATACACACCATCACTTGTGTATTCAGTGATATTCTCTCAAGAAACAAAAGTGTTCATCCAGCATTGAAGTCACTGGTGTGTCAAGAACAAGAAGACAACTCCACTAAGGATCAGTTTCTAAATGAATTTATGTACATATGTAGTTGAGTTGTAATCTAGTTATTTGTTCATCATTGTAATTCCTAGTTTGCTTTCTTAGAAGCGTTGTCTTAGGAACAAACCAAATTTGTAAACTTCAGAGTTTATGTTGTGACTAGGGATAGTCATAAGTTAAATTCTTTGTAACTAGGAGAGTTATAGAGTGGCTTGTGGTGGTTGCATCACAAGTTAGCTTGAAGTCTTTGCAATAGGTTGTTTGCAAAGTGGCTTGTAATAGGTAGATTACAAGTTAGTAGAGTTAAAAGCCTAGAAGAGTAGGTCATGGTTTTTTAATCCCCTTGTGTGGGATTTTTCCACGTAGAAAATCTCTTGCCTTATTCCAAGTTGGTGGACTCATATAAACTAACAAGTACAGTTGAAAGAAATACAAAAATTCTTAGTGTAGTCAATTTTCTTTATTTACAATCTATAAATTGAAATTTTAACGTTTGTTGACTTGGTTGTACAGGTGCATGCCTAGAAACTCATCGACAACTGGTGAAGTATTTGAAGCATTATCAGATCCTGAGAAAGTTTTCAAGGCCTTGAATCGAGCCAACCGGAAAAACAAACAACAACAATCAACTGAACAACTCGAACCAGACATGGGGGATAACGTGGTATACCCAGTTGTGCCAGTAGCGCCAGTGGTGGCACCTCTTGTGCCAGAGGCTGCTCTATATGACTAGGCACAACCCACAATAAATTATTTGGCCACAATATTATTAGTCTCGTAGATACATGCCGAATCTTTTCAAATCACGAACAACATGCTACACTTGTTGCAAAACAAAGGACTATTTTCGGGGTCATACATTGAAGATCCTCAACAGCACTTGAAGAATTTCCTATCAATCTGCAAAACTCAAAGGCAGCCCAACGTAACTCAGGAAGCAATAAAGTTGTTGTTGTTTCCATTCTCAGTGACATGAGCTGCCCAGACTTGGCTAAACTCACTCCCCATTAACTCCATCATGACTTGAGAGGAGTTAGTCAAGCAATTTGTGAATAAGTTTCATCCACCCAACAAGACTGCTCAGCAGATTGATGAAATTTTGAGCTTCAAATAGAAACCAATGGAAACACTGCAATAAACATGGGAACGATTCAAAAGAATGTTGGTTATATGTCCGCACCATGGTATTCCAGAGCAGATGTTGGGGCAGCGATTTTACATGGGTCTGACAGATGGGGTGAAAGCTAATGTTGATGCTTCAGCTGGTGGAGCATTTTTTAGCAAAACATCGAGAGAAAGTCAGATCCTGCTTGACAGGATGGCATAGAATTTGGGGTGGACAACCAGGAATACACCTATCACTCTAGTAGTTCACTCAGTGCCCTTAGATCCATACAACACTCTTTTTGAAAATATGGCCACATTAATGACACAGATGAGTATACTCACCTCCAGCACCATTCCCACAGAGGCTGGCCAAGTACCAAAAAGAGGAACAATACAAGAAATTCTTGGAGATGCTGAAACAAATCCAGGTAAATATTCCATTGATTGATGCTTTGAAGGAGATGCCTGGTTATGCAAAAATGATGAAGGGCTTGATGTCCCAAAAATTTGATTTCCAAGACTTAGCCACAGTGACTCTAACTCAGGCCTGTAGTGTTGTGGTGACTAGACCAGTTGCTGAGAAGTTGTCTGACCCAGGGAGTTTCACAATTCCCTGCACCATTGGTAACTTTGCTTTTGCCAAGGCACTTTGTGATTTGGGCGCTAGCATAAATCTTATACCCCTGGTGATCTATAAGAGGTTGGGGATTGGAAGAGCTAGACCCACGTCTATGTTATTGCAGCTGGCTGACAGAACTGTGAAACAACCCTCTGGTATCTTGGATGATGTGTTGATTCAGGTAGGGAAATTTGTGTTCCTTCCAGATTTTGTGATTCTAGATTGCAAGGTGGATGGAGAAATTCACATAATTTTGGGAAGGCTGTTCTTGGCCACAGGGAGAGCTCTTATTGATTGTGAAACTAAGGAGCTCAAGATGAGGTTGAACGATGAGGAGATAATATTCAGTGTGCAAAAATCTATGAGGCGACCAAGTGAATTTGCTAATTGCTCTATTATTGATGCCGTGGATGTAATCGTATAAGCAGATGATAAGACGTTGACTATTGAGGATCCTCTTGATGCTTGTCTTGTAAATTTAGATGAGGTGAATGGGCAAGAATTGGCAGAATGGGTGTTGGCTTTAGAGGGCACAGGGTTTTGGGATAGAACACTTGAATTCGAGCCCCTGCACTTAGAAAATAGAGAAACTCCTCCAGCCAAGACATCCATAGAAGAACCACCAAAGCTGGAGTTGAAGCCACTGCCCACCCATCTCAGGTATGATTTCCTAGGACCTAACTCCACATTACCTGTTATTATCTCATCTAGTTTGTTAGATGTGCAGGCACAACAACTTTTGCATGTACTCAAGGAGTGTAAGACTGTCATTGGGTAGACCATGGCAGACATTAAGGGGATTAGCCCGGCATATTGTATGGATAAAATTCTGCTAGAAGAGGGGCACAAACCTTCCAGGGAGCACCAAAGAAGGCTGAACCCCAACATGAAGGAAGTGGTGAAGAAAGAGGTGATTAAGTGGTTAGATGCATGAATCATTTTCCCCATCTCTGACAGCAACTGGGTTAGCCCGATGCAATGTGTTCCTAAGAAGGGTGGCATGACGGTGGTAAAAAAATGATAACAATGAGCTGATCTATACAAGAACCGTCACAGGCTGGAGAATTTGTATGGACTACAGGAAATTAAATCTGGCCACCCGACAAGAGCACTTCCCACTTCCCTTCATTGATCAGATGCTTGACAGATTGGTAGGGAGGCCCCACTTCTGTTTCCTGGATGGGTACTCAGGTTACAATCAAATCTCCATTGCACCAGAGGATAGAGAGAAGACCTCCTTCACATGCCCATATGGCATTTATGCTTTTCGAAGGATGGCCTTTGGCCTATGCAATGCACCCTCCACATTCCAAAGGTGCATGATGGCCATATTTACTAACATGGTCGAAGACATAATGGAGGTATTCATGGATGATTTCTCAGTGGTGGGAAACTCATTCGACGAGTGCCTTACAAATCTGACCTGAGTGTTGAAAAGATATATTGAGACTAACCTGGTACTTAATGGGGAAAAGTGACATTTCATGGTACAAGATGGCATAGTCTTGGGACATCGAGTATAAAGCAAGGGAATCGAGGTGGATCGTGTTAAAGTTGACGTGATAGCAAAGATGCCACCTGCACTTCAGTCAAGGCAATCAGGAGTTTCCTCGGGCATGCCGATTTATACCGGAGATTCATAAAAGACTTCTAAAAAATTACCAACCCTCTTTGTAAGTTGTTAGAAAAAGATCACCCTTTCTTATTTTCTGATGATTGCAGGGTAGCATTCGAGGAGTTGAAAAAGAGGATAGTCACAACACCTATCATTGTTGCCCCCGATTGGGAGCAACCATTCGAACTCATGTGTGACGCCAGTGATTATCCAGTGGGGGTAGTGTTGGGACACCGGATGACAAGCTAATGCACCCAATTTACTATGCAGTAGAATGTTGAGTGGAGCCCAACTGACCTACACTATGACTGAAAAGGAGATGCTGGCTGTGGTGTTTGCATTCGACAAGTTCAGATCATACCTGATTGGCTCTAAGGTAATTGTATATACTGATCATGCAGCTCTCAGGTACTTGAAGGTTGAGTTAAGCACGACTTTTCACCCTCAGACGGACGGGCAGTCCGAGCGCACTATTCAGATATTGGAGGACATGTTGCGTGCTTGTGTCATTGATTTTGGAGGGTCATGGGATCAGTTTCTACTGCTTGTAGAGTTTGCTTACAACAACAACTACCAGTCGAGTATTCAAATGGCTCAATATGAGTCTTTGTATAGGAGGCGGTGTAAATCTCCAGTTGGTTGGTTTGAGCCGGGTGAGGCTAGGCTATTGGTGACAGACTTGGTTCAGGATGCTTTAGAAAAAGTGAAGGTAATTCAGGAGAGGTTTCGTACAATGCAGTCGAGGCAAAAGAGTTATGCTAACAGGAAGGTCCAGGATGTGTCCTATATGGTTGGTGAGAAGGTCTTGCTGAAGGTTTCGCCCATGAAGGGTGTTATGAGGTTTGGAAAGAAAGTTAAATTGAGTCTTCAGTTCATTGGGCCTTTTGAGGTGCTTCGGAGGATTGGGGAGGTGGCATATGAGCTTACTTTACCACCCAGCTTGTCGAGTGTGCATCCGGTATTTCATGTTTCTATACTCCGGAAGTATATTAGGGATCCGTCTCATGTTCTGGATTTCAACACGGTTCAGTTGGATAGTGATTTGACTTATGATGTGGAGCCAACAACTATTTTGAAGCGTCAGGTTTGAAAGTTGAGATCAAAGGATATAGCTTCAGTGAAAGTGCAGTGGAGAGGTCAGCCTAGGGAGGAGGCTACCTGGGATACAACCCAGGAGATGCGGAGCAGATATCCTCATCTGTTTGAGGCTTCAGATATGTTTCTTGTCTCGTTCGAGGACGAACGTTTGTTTAAGAGGGGGAGGATGTGACAACCCGACCAGTCGTCTCATGTGTTACCGCTTTATTTCCCCCATATCTGCTTCTTATTGTTTTGTCTATCGGTTCTATATGTGATCGGGTTGGTCGTCTCGGGTTCGGAAAGGATTTGGTAAGGTTTGAGACACTTAGTCTCTTTTGAGGAAGCTTAAGTTGGAAAAGTCAACCGGATGTTGACTTATGTGTTAGAGGGCTCGGATGTGATTTTTGATAGTTCGGATAGCTTCGGGAGGTGATTTGGGACTTAGGAGCGTGATCGAAATGTATTTTGGAGGTCCGGAGTAGATTTAGGCTTGAATTGGCGAAATTTGATTTTTGGCGTTTTCCAGTTGATAGGTGAGATTTTGATATAGGGGTTGGAATGGAATTACGAGAGTTTCAGTAGTTCCATTGGGTCATTTGGGATGTGTGTGCAAAACTTTAGGTCATTCGGACGTGGTTTGGTTGCGTTTTTTATCCAAAGCATAATTCGGAAGATTTTGGAAACTTAGGCTTGAATCCAATGTGTTTTGGTTGATTCGATGTTGTTTGAGGTGTTTTGAGGATTGGTATAAGTTTGAATAAGGTTATGGTATATGTTTGTGCTTTTGGTTGAGGTCCCGGGAGTTCGGGGTTATTTTGGATGGTTGACGGAGAGTTTGGAATTTTTGGTGAAGCTGCAGATTTTTTACATCTGTTGTTTCCGCACCTGTGGATTGGGGACCGCAATTGCGAAGAAGAAGGCTGCAGAAGCAGAAAGGGCCTGGGAAGACTGGAGCCGCACCTGCGATGGCGCAGGTGCGGGCATTGCATTGCAGATGCAATTTTTGGTGACTTAAGTGAAAATCGCAGAAGCAGTTCAAGGACCGCAAATGCGGTACCGCAGAAGCGGGAATTTGGCCGCAGACGCGAAATCCCTGGGCCAGAAGGTATAAATTGTTTCCTTCGCGATTTTTGAGCTATTCCACCATTTCTAAGTCGTTCTTTGGAGCTTTTAGGGCGATTTGAAGAAGGATTTCAAGGGGACTTCATTGAGGTAAGGATTTTGGACCTAAAACTCGTTCTTATGGTATTATTTCACGAATTAGAGCTGTAATTAATAGAATTTAAGGGTTAAAATTGGGAAACTAGGGTTTGGTATTAGAGACCTAGACTTGAGGATTTGAGGGGTCATTTGTGGTCGGATTTTGATACTTTTGATATGTATGAACTCGTGGAGAGATAAGGAACCTATTGATGTGAATTTTATCGAATTTCGAGATGTGGGCCCAAGGGTCGTGTTTTGGTAATTTCAGGATTTATGTTGTAAATTGATTATTTTCGCTTGGGTTTCGTTCCCTTAGCATATTTTGACATCGTGATTCTAATTTTGGATAGATTTGACGCGAGTGGAGGACGATTTGAAGGGCAGAGGCGCCGCGGGCTAGAGTTTGGACCAGATTGAGGTGAATAATAATTGTAAATGATGTCCTGAGGGTATGAAACCCCGGATTTGCACATCGTTGTGCTATATTGAGGTGACCCACACGAGACGACGAGCGTGGGGTCGTGCACTGATGGGGATTGTGACTTAGTCCGTCCTGAATGACTATTTCACCGCGTATTTTATTGAAATCTATTTGCTATCAGCATGTTTTGGGTTGAATGACATATTTGGGCCTCGTGCCAAATATTTGAACCCTTAGGGGATTTTTATTAATATTTCCTCACTGTTTTGACTTTATACTTAAACTCAGTCATGCTATATTCTACTATTTTTCATAACTCAACCATGTTTACTCTGCTTTAACACTTAAATGATATTTTAAATTGAGCACTATGTTTTACTGTTGCCTGAGTGGCTGTGAGATTCTGACTGAGTAAGGCCGAGGGCCTATGTTGTGAGAAAACACATTATGATTATGAGGCCGAGAACCTGAGATATGTACTCCACGAGGTAGCTTGTTGATATGAGACCAAGACCCTAGTGATGATTCCAAGAGATGGCTTGATATTGCGTTTGGGCCGTAAGGGGCCCCTCCAGGAGTTTGCACACCTCCAGTGAGTGCAGGTACCCATTGTGATGTGAGATATAGCCCGAGGAGCTGGTATTATTCTGAGATATTGCCCGAGGGGCGGAGTTGTTGACATTGTGCCCAATGGGCGATCCTTTATGTGTTTATCTTTCCTATTTGCTTGTCATTTACTTGCTTAATTGTTAAAAAGGCATTTGTTTTGAAGTTTAAACTGAACTCAATGACTTTACACATCTTTACTGCTTCACTGTTTTTTATTAGCTTTTACTGCTTCCTTATAGCCTGTTATGTACCTTACGTGATTTCTTACTTCTCAGCCTTTATTTATGATTATTACTCACTGAGTTGGAGTATTCACTTTACTCCCTACACCCCGTGTGCATATTCAGGCGTTGCTGATCCTGATTGCAAGGGTTGAGAGCTCCCGGCAGATTTCGGAGTTCACGAGGTAGCTGCCCGGCGTCCGCAGCCCATGCTTCTCCCCCTTTATATCATTTCCTTTCCCTTATTAGTGATTATGTAGTAGCTTTGTAGACTC